AGGCAATGGGCTTGCTTAATGGCTACAGATTTGTTTAACAACCATGGTGATTTGCTTAAGGACCACCACAAAATAGTGTTGTAATATTGGTTTGGTCATGTAATTATTCACTTAGCAACCAGCACCCAGGTATGACCATAATTCCGAGCTCAGTCACAGTTGTAACTCAAGGACTACCTGGCAAGGAGAGGGGAGGAGATTTGTACTTTCAGGCTTGCAAGATTTTGTTAATATAACTTTACAATAAAATAGAATTAGTTTGTCTGGCTGTTCTTTCCTGTGTGTGGTAAAGCTGGCACAGGCAGATCTGCACTCAAAAATTACTTTTTTCATTGCTTTGGTAACTTCTGCTTCAGTTGTCTCTGCCTAGGGCTCTGCAACCTTGATAACTTTAAGACTTGTGGACTTCAGCTGGCTGAGGAATACTGGGAGCTGAAGTCCACAAGTCTTAAAGTTGTCAAGGTTGCAGAGCCCTGGCGTAGGCAGTAAGTGTCCCTTTAAAATATGTCATTTAAGAAGAAGAGAGGGACAGTATTTCAAAGTACAAGATTTTTCTTCAGGAACAGTTCAATCTTTGATTTTTTAGGGAGATATAAAAGTAGCCACAAAGCATAATGCATATATATTCAGTATTTAAGAACTAATCTTAACTTTTGCTGTTGACCTTGCCCTCTGCAGAAATCCCTTGAAATGAATTTAAGTAATTGCACTAGGCTTTGTCTCTAAGTTGGTGAAGAAAGATATTAAACAAGTCACTGACTAAACAGACAGATGATGTAACATTGGGTATTGACCAGTGCTGTGAACTTTCTAAGGTGGTAAGAGACTGAACCCAATGCTGCTTACTTCCATGATTTCTAAGGATAACAATTCTGGGGGTTTTATACAGTAGAGATTTCCACATTCTTTAACTATGGTGGCTACTCAAATATTCAAGCTGGTTGATAAAAATTAGCCTCAGGTTTAATAGTGTATAAACTGCACATTATCTACAGTGGTTTAATGGCTTCTTCTAGGTTTCTCTGCAATCTTCCATTGTGCTGTTTCTGACTAGACCACATTTAATAAGTCTTCTGATATTTCTTGGAGATAAAACTACCAGTGATTCATTTTCTTTCCTTCTTTTTTTCTTTCTGTAGTCATGTTACATGAAGCTTATACCTTTGTCTGTCTGACAGGAGGAAGTGAAGGCAGACACATCCAGTTCTAACTATTCATGGCATCTGATTTGGGGAACACTGGTGCAAAAGAAAAGTGCTGAAAAATGAAGTCAAAAAAAGAATGAATGGTCTTTTATAAAGGGAACCAATTAGTATTTAAAGCTGTAAAGTGGAATCATTTTGAAATTTAAAAACTCAAGAATTTCTTTTTATCTTTTGAAAGGAACATTCCAGAGCTAAGCACTTCATTATGAGAAGAAGGCAGAAAAATCCAGCATGTACATTTAGAAAATCATGATGAAGTTGCTTTCCTATTCTTCATCCTGCTAACTCGGGGGAATAAATAAATAAATTTCACAATAAGGTTTTTTTTTAGAGGTTTATTGAACAGAAACACTCAACACTTATTGAACAGAATAGAAACAACAGAAGATTGTGAAACAGTTGTCTTTGTAAATGTGGCAGCTATCTGTTAATTTCTTTCATTGTATTCCTCATAATATACAATTCTATGCAATTCTGGCTTTTGAAAAATTATTTTTTTCTATTTTACTTATAATAATAAAAGATTAGAAGGAACTAGCATTGTCCTGTGCAGTAATCCGTTACACAACATTCCTATCTGTCTGTCAAGTAAAGAGAATCTATTGCCTCTCAAAGGTATCCAAACAGATCTGATTGTTAAAAAGTTATCCAGTTGTCCAATCAAAATCTATATGTTTGTAAATCAAGCCCATTGTTTCTTGTTGAACAGAAGTACTCTGATAATTCTGCTCTGTCTCCCACATGCCAGTTGAAGGAAATGCTGACTGCCTTCCAAAGTCTAATCTGCCTCAGCAACAAAGCATAGTAGAGACTGGAGATAGGAGAGGCAGGATGAGAACGACTCCTTTGGTGCCATGGATCTTCTGATGCCAGGTCTGATCTTATTATGATAACAATCTAGAACCAAAGAACTAACAGCAAAGAAGCCGTTCTCCCCTGCTTCTCTTTTCATGCTGCTTCTGCTGAAGGCACAACCTAGAGGCAAAGCAGAGGCTGAAAGTAGAGGGAGAGAAAGAGGGTAACTGGGTCTTTCAGGGCCGGTATTCACAGCACCAAAAGACACATTTTTTTCCTATAGAGTTAACTTGGCTTCCTTTCCCATTAGGATGGGGTGCCAAATGGAAAGGACATCCATTGGGAAAGTGGTCCATGAGTGACAGCAGAAGAGACTAAAGGCAGTTTCATTTTAATGGTCTCTGATGGCTTCATGGCTCCATGACTTTTTAGGGATGTCTGCAGAACTATCAGTGCTGTGAGGAAGTGCCGCCCACATGCCAGCAGCTTGACAGGAGAATCTGGTTGCTTTGCTAAACTTACCTTGATTCCTGCTCAACATAGCTTGTCCAGGCAGAACTGAAAACAAAACAAAACACTGTATTTGCAGTGGTGCAAAAAATTACAGGGAGAGGCTTTCTTCCCAGTGAGCTGGGAGTAGTTTAAGGACAACATCAAGCATTCATGTCCATGAAAAACAGTTAATGGGATTTTTTTTTTGTGTTCAGCTGTGCAGAATATGTGTACGAACCCTGAATCACAAGCTGTGGCTATTAATTGTGAACTACTACGAATAAGTACTTAAGATGTGCTTTTTTAAAAAAACAAAAACAAAAATCCAAGATGGTATAAAACTTATTTTGGAATATTTTCTCCCCTGAATTTACAGCAACTTGGATACCTCTATTAATACAGAAGTAGAAACTAGATACTTCAGGAACACACAAGATAGATTGTTACAGTCAATGATAAAATAAAACATGATTTTTCAAGAACTTGAAAATAATGTTTGGCTGACTAGCTTTAAAAAGTGGAACAAAAGAAATATAGCAAAATTGTATGATGAGCTTGTGGCATTTTTTTTTTAAAAAAAACTCACACGGCTGTTGGGAAAATAGGTGGAGGAAAAAAATATTAAGTATATTGACCATCTAGAATCATAATAAAGGTAGGATTTTAAAAATCTGAAAAGCAATGGATGGAATGGATAGGCAGACAAAGAAAGCAGAATCCAATAGCCTTGTTGGATCCATCCACAGACCCATTCTAGAACATCGATCCAGTCAGTGCATTGGATAAGCTCACAAGTTTGGCTGCTCCTTCCTTGTTGCTTCCCAACAATTAGTAGTTAAGATATGCTATCTGTGATTCAGGAGTTGGTATACCTGCATCAAGGCTAGAAGCCACTGATAGCTGAATATTCCAGAAGTATTTCTGATTTCCTTTAATGTATCTCCAAATTTGTGGCCATCATCGCATCTAATGGCAGGATATTTATAACTTATGTCTTTTTATTTTTTTTAATTTATTTCTAAATATCCTCACATTTCATTTTAATGGATGACTGACACTGAGAGACAGAAAAAACTTCTCTGTCCACATTTTCATCATGTGCATGATTTTGCATTCTTCTCTTGTGTGTCTCCTTTTGTAGCTGTACTCTAAGCTAAAAGGCTGAAGTGCAGTAGACTTTTTGTGTGGAAGAGATGTTCTAGTCTTTGAATCATTTTGGTGGCCCTTTTCTCTTAGAAAACTCATTATCCATTCTTCTGAATAGGCTATATACTTAGAATCAAAGAGGTGCTATATTAGACTGACTGTGCTTCAGCCTGAATGGTTAACTTCAGGGAGTGGTGATAGGAAATTGCTTTCTAGAGAGAAGTCAGTCTATTGCCTCATGCCATTTAACTTCTACATCAAGAGCTAGGCAAGGGCTGCACTTAAAAATTTGGAGGCTGCTGAGTGCCACAGTCTGAATGCAGTGATATTGTGCATGTTCATTTTGGGGTTTTGTTGTTGAGAGTTACGGGATTTTCTTTTTTAAAAATAGTGATGGAACTATTTTCAAGTTTACCTTATAGCAGGGCTATAGAAGATATGGACCACAAACTGCCCACCAGGCAGCCTTGTGTGGCCCATTGATATCTTTTGAAAACTTGAACAAATCCACTGCTGCCAAGGAAAACCTCTGCAGTCTAAGTTTTCACCATTATCTCCTATATGAAACATCCCCAGGCCTCACTGTCAGTGCCAGCCCCATTGCTACCACTATACTACTAGCCATTGTAGTATAGTGGTAGCCAGTTATTCCTCTGTGGCCTGCAATTATTTTTAATGTAGTAATGTGGTCCTTTTCTCTCTATGAATTGTGCTGGCCTGCCTTGCCATTTTGATCTGTTCCTTACTTTAAACAGGCAAAGGATTTTACTATTAGTTTCAGCAAACATGCATCAGAGGGTACTTCAATGGGTACAAAGAAGAGGATTTAGGACTTGCAGATTGTCTATCTCTGTTCCACATGAAATTGCTGGGACATCATCCACATACATAAATTGAAGAGACATGTGGATGATGTTCCTATGACCTCTGTGTGTCTTTTATCTAATCTATATGAGTCACTCTGTATTCTGCCTAATGCTCAGCCACTATAATAGATTGTGGGTCAATAAAACGAATCTAAATCTAGATGTGATGGAAGTTTTTGTCTGGCTTTCTGGTGTTTAATTTGGTCAGGAGGGTTTTATGTTCAGGTTGCCAGTTTGAATCTGTTTTTGGATCCATTGCTACACTAATGTTAACATTTTTATCAAATTAGATCTGATTCAGGTCTATCTTAATGATATTTTTATCCTTTTCTCACCCCCCCCCCAAAAAAAACCCAACCCTACCTTCCCAGATCTGAAGTCTCAAAATAATTGTATTATCACCTAAGTTTTTTTTCAAAATATAATATAGCAAGATTATTGTCAGTTCTGTGTTCAACTACATTATTTCATGATACTTTTTTATTTTTTCATTCAGGTGTACTACTTTACACTATCGTACAGATCTGCCACCAACCAGCATCATTATCACCTTCCATAATGAAGCTCGGTCTACATTGTTGAGGACAATAAGAAGGTAAGATTTATTCACATAGAACTAAAGGGGAGAGGTGAATAGTATCCAAGATTTCATTTATTTCATAAATGTTAACATTAAAAAAATAATTGAAATTATTTTTAATAAAAAAGGCCAAATTAGCTGTTATGGACACCAAGTGAGCATGCATACATAGCCATGAGGCGGTACGCTTAAGGAGTAAACAGAGTGTAGGAAAGGAGCAAGAAATTTTAAGGAATTAATCACATGAGTTTAGAAAAAGAAAACAGAATATAGCTAAAACCAGTTTAAGTAGTTTATACCAATTCCATTCATTAAGCATTTCCTCAGTTTTCTATCCTAGCAAATCATCCATCATTTCTACCACATCTGTACATTGCTTCATTCATAACTTTTTATTCTTTATTATTTCAGCGTGCTTGTTTGGAATTGATTGTTCACTTCTGTACTTCAGCCACATTATTTCAGTACTCATTTATTCTTAACCTGTCACTTCTTGTTTTATTTCTTAAGTACTCCATTCCCATTGCATTCAAGATGCTTTTGTTTATGTACCCCTAAACTCACTTCCTTATAATAAAGTGGAGAAAAGTCACAACACAACTATTTTGCTTCTTTAGCAAACATTAATTCCTCTCAGTAGACTTCATATTACTCACTATCTTTCCACCAACGTTTGCCCGTCTTAAAATTCCTCTATCCTTTTCTCATCTTTCATGAACATTCTACCAAGATACACAAATCAATCTGTGTATTCTAATTTTTCATCATTTATGTATAACTTGCAATCATTCACTCCATCTTGTCTGTCAAACACAAGTATTTTGGACTTTGACACATTAATTTTCAAATGCTCTTCATTGCATCATGCAATCAATTATTCACTGCAAATCAATCAGGTTCTCAACCAACAGCAGAGCATTATCTGCATACAAAAATGCTTATATATTCATGTCCCAACTAACCTATCTCTAGCTTCACCACAAGCTTTACTTACACATTTATTCCTTATTTCATGCCTGTCATGTGCTTCCTGTAATCAGTAAATGTACAATAATTCTTCCTTGCATTTATACATTTTTCAATGATATGCTAAAAAAAAATAAAAAATCTGATCTTCTTGTTCCCTGCCTAGCATAAAGCTGCATTGTACTTCACAAATTTTACTTGTCATCCTTGCCCCCTTTTGATCAGTATTCTGCCAGACCATCCCCCAAACACTTATCAAAGTAGTTCCCCTGTAGTTTTTCCAATCATTCTTCCTATTTTTTCATTCTCTAAGAGAATGACTGTGGCTTCTTCCAATGATCAAACATGATATAGTCTTCACACACACATTCAACAACTTGCATAGTTATTTCATAAGTACACCACATCCATATTTTAATATCTTCCCACTAATAATCTCTGCATCTCAGCCATATTATTTTTCACACCATTTATGACTGCTTTTCATTATTTTTTTCACCAACTGTCCTTTTTAATATTTATCATTGTCATAATTTCACACACTTTTTTCTTCTATCAACTCTGAGTATTTCTTCTGTTCCTCTGCTTCTACATTCTTACATCCTCCTCTATTTATTTTGTTAGGAATTAACTTATTTTTATATTTATATTGATTCCTTTTCTGGATGCATGTATGAACAGTAATGCTTAAACTATATGCTCAAAACAAACCTTTTTCTAAACAGATGCTCACCAGTCATAATACTCATTCATCCTTGGGTCTCTGAATGGCCTAATCACTTTTTTTTAAATACTTTCTTGTCTTGCTACCATTCATCTATTCATGTCATCTAATACAATAATTTTATGTCCTGGATCAAATTAATGCACAATGTTACTCACTAATCTAAAACCACTTAGTTCTTCCTATTCTCACTATTCATTTGAGTATTAATGTGTAACATTCACCAATGTATAGATTCCTACTTTTATATACATCTGCAGCAACTTTAATGCCACTAGTCTGTACTTATTGATGTATACTATACCAATGAACCTATGACTGCACTTCTCTGCGTACATTAATATTCCACTCCACAAGATTATATCATTTGCATTCTAATGTCTTGCATCCTTTCTCTTTCTCTGTCTCTTAATTTTATAGACAGAGCATATTTCATTTCATTCATTATGCTATGCTCTTTTTTCTTTTACCTCTTATACATGCTAAATCTTCCATATACCACACTGGTAATAATGTAGATCCATAGATATTGCTCATGTTTGGTCAGTTAAGGCCTTCACCTAAGACTTTGTAGTATTATAAAGGGTAAACTGGTTTACCAGCCTTAGTCACATCCATAGCCCTTGCATCAATTCTGTGCTAATTGTAAGAACAGTACCCAGTCAGTTTTGGTATATTTTTGCACACATTTTCATGCTTTTCTGGGCCTACTTGGATCTAACGACTATGTTGCAGACCAGAAAACCATTGTGTACAGCCTTCCTAGAAGGTAGATGCAGTGTACTGACATATTGTAACGGGCTGTGAGAATAACCTAAGAAGACAACAAGAAGAGCTGCAGTCTAGTTTATGGTCAAACAAAAGATATCGCACCCCACAGAAAGAATGGAAGCATGGAAAGTGCCTCAGAAAGGATCTTCCCTAGTAGTCTAGAAAGTAAAAGTAATGGAGGGGAGAAATACTTTCAAATTTACAAGGTTGATGTCATCCCTTTGAGGTAATCCAATCAAGAAATCAAAACCATGAGTACTATCTTTATCGTAAGATTACAGTAACAGAATCTTGAAATCTTGCAAAATACTTTTTTTGATAATCCACTTCTAGAGAAAATCCACTCTTATTCCCACCCTTAAAATTATTAGGCTTCATACAATCACAATTGTAAATCTCAGCTTTTCAGGTATTTATCACTTTATTCAGGAATAAGCTTATTTGATAGAAGCCTTGGGATACCAAAAATACTCCTTTTTTATAGACAAGAAGAACCTAACTGCCTGCCATATTACATAGAAAGCGCATCCTATATATAGGTTCTGGTCTAGATCAGGAACCCTAGGCTTTCAATTTTATTTTTTTCTTCCCAGCGTTCTGAGTTTAAATAGATTCTTTGCCATTCTCTTGAGGGACTTGAGACTTGATGGACTGTGCTGACATCATGAACTTCTGCACTATAGAAACCCCTGTTTTCTGCTCTTCCAACTTCATTCTTTGTAAAAACTAATCAGAATCCTGAAAACAGGTCAAATGGTGCTGCCAAAACTCTACTGTATTGCAACCAAATTTTGTTATCATATCTCAAAGTATCGGGAGGCCCAAATAAGAACTACATAAAAAGTGTGCCAACTGTTACAGCTTTTTGCCTTGTTAAATATTTCAAATGCCTGACGGCGTTTGAAGGTCGCACACTTAGATTCTGCTTTTGTTGGTGGGGGAGGAAATTAGAGAAATTAATATGATTATTATTGTTTAGTTCTCTTCCCCACTTTTTTTGAATTGGCAAGTCTTTTGTGAGCAGATCGTGCAATTACCAAGCTCATTCATTATTCAAAGCAATCCCACCACTTTCTCAAGCGATTAATTGCTGGAATGCAGACTGTTCACCAATGATTCATCCTGAAGACTCCAAATGTGAAAATTACAAGCTGTTTTGCATTGGGAATGCGGGTGGTAAAGATGGCAAGAGATATTCAGGATCTAAATTCATATAGAATATATCTCTGAATAGCATCATCGAATGGAACCTAACACTATAATAAACAGCTTCTGCAGAAAGTTTGTTTCTTTGTTTAGTCAGTGTATACAGTGGCCCATGTCGCAACCATGACTCTGGGTAGTTTACAGTGTTAAAAATAATAAAAATATATACAAAAATGTAAAACCCATCACAGCTGGAAAAAGAAGAAAAAGTCACATTCCAACATTTAACATAGTCAATCAACAGGCTCTGTCCCACACTTGGGGCCCCATGCTCAGGGGAAGAGCCATGTCCTCAGGGCCATACCAAAGGCCAATACAATTTCTGGAGGAATGCCATAGGGCTTTGGTATGGCCCTGAGGACATGGCACTCCTTGGTTGATGGGACCCAAAGCATGCCTCTCCTGCCAGAATGGAGGTGATAGTTAGAACAACTGGGGAGAGACAATCCTATAAGACAAGTAGCCTAGTCCCAAGCCATAAAGACTTAAAGGTGCAAGCCCTGCTGCTACTGCATTCTGCACTAGCTGAAGCTTCTGAATGTTCTTCAAGGGCAGGCCCATGTAAAGCTCCTTGCAGTACTTCAGTCTGGAGGTCACTAAGGCATTAGTGATCATGAGTACAGTCTCCTGGCTTAGGAATATGCACAACTGATATACAATCCAAAGCTGGGCAAAAAGCCTACCTAGCCATGGGTGCCACTTACTCCTCAAGCAAGAAGTATGAGTACAGGAAGCCTCCCCCCAGATTGTCCATCAGCTCTGTCCAGTGCAACCCTACTCAGAACCAAAAATGAAATGAATGAAAAGTCCTAGTAGGTCCAAAATCCTGTAGCCTTGCTAGGTCTTGCTGGAATTGAGCTGAAGCTTGTTGCACTCCATCTAGAAACCCCCACAGCTTCCAGGTACTGGGACCCTCAGACAACCTGGGATGGAGATGTAGTTTTGTACCACATGCCAAATTATTAGGGGGGCTTTCCTAGTGGCTTCATGTAGCTGCTAAACAAGGGAGGACAAAGCACTGAAAACTGAAGGACCTCTCAGTACAGGGTTGGATCTCTCCTCTCCTAGCAACATCAAGTGGAACTGACCCTAAAGGATGGAGGAGTACCATCACAATACTCTGTTGCCTACACCGAGTTTCTTTAGTCAGTCCAGAAGGATACCACAATTGAAAGCTGTTGAGAGGGTAACAAAGAACCAAGGTGGACACATCACCCCCATCTAGCTTCCATCAGATACCATCAAAAATCCATCATCATCATCATTATCATCATCATCATCATCATCATCACTATCCAGCATCAGTGTTGTCTCAATCCCATAAACATACAAGTTCAAATGTGTAAAG